AAATCGGACGGATCGGATCGGATATAGGGTGTATTGGAAATTTCCGATTTTTTTCGGAAGGCTAAAATGCCTTCCGATTCCGATTCCGATTTTTTCGGAATTCAAGAATCAATTCCGATTCCGATTTTTTCGGAAATTTCGGAAAATCGGATTTTTTCGGAATCATTCATTTTCGGATTTTTCGGAATTTTTTCGGATTTTTTACGGAATATATTCGGAATATCCGGATTTAAAAAAGAAAAAAAATGAAAACAGAATAAAGGGCGGCGGGGCTGGTGGTCGTCGAGAGAACGAGGGCGGCGTGGCGGAGAGAACGAGGGCGGTGGGGCTGGTGCTCGGCGGAGAGAACGAGGGCGGCGGGGCTGGTTTTCGGTGGAGAGAAAGAGGACGGCGTTGCCGGTGCAAGGCGGAGAGAATGACGGAGGCAGCGCTGGTGCTCGGCAGAGAGGAAGAGGGCGGCGCTGGTGCTCGGCGGAGAGGAAGAGGCGGCGCTGGTGCTCGGCGGAGAGGAAGAGGCGGCGCGGGTGGTGGTTGACGGAGAATCGAGGGTGGTGTTGGTGGGAGAAAAGAAAAAACAGAGAAAATAGTGGGGAGCGGCGTGAGGATTGAGGTGAGAAGATGAGAACGAGGCTAATTCAATTAGGGTTAGATTTTAAATTTTAATTGTTTAGAAAATAAAGTAATAAATAATAATATATTTGTACGATGTTACTTTTTAGTGTGTATGTGTGTGTGTATATATATATATATATATATATATATATATATATTAATAATAATAATCGGAAATATTTGGAAATATTCGGAAATAATCGGAAATTTTCGGAAATAATTTCGGATCGGAATTCGGAAATTCCGAAATTCTGTTATGTATTTCCGATTCCGATCCGATTTTTTTCGGAAATTTCGGTATTCGGAATTTCGGAATTTGGAATTGAAAAAATCCTTCCAAAATCGGAATTTTTCGGATCGAATTCGGCGGAAATCGGAAATTTTGTTCCGATTTCCACCCCTAGTTGGGGCGAATGAGAAAGGGAGTCCAATTAGCCTATGTTCCTTTTCCGTCCGTTGTACACCTGAAAAGTACATATTAAGTCTAATTTAACTTCAGATACACAAAAAAAACAGTGGGACAAAAACATCGTAAACGGCAAAAAGAACGAAAAAAAATAAGACATATTTCAAGCATTCCCCTCATGTTATTCTAAGAGACGATGTGATGCGCATCCAGAGTAAATAACCAACGGAACATAAGACAGCTTTCCCCCATTCTTTTCACTGTTTCTTGCGTGTTTGATTTGAAAGCACGAAGAACAGTCTCGTTTTTTTCAATCATTCTAACACAATTCATACCAAACATAGGATTTATATAAATGCCCATGATCAACCTAATTTCCAAATAAATGGCAAAACCCTTGCCGTAAGAAATAAATATTAACCTAATAAGAAATCAATAACGTAATATAAGCACATAAGGAAACTCATGCGAGAAAACAAATAAAAAAATAAATTTGAAGGCAGATAATCATAAGCCCAAACAACCGACATAAACCCCAAAAAAAAAAAAAAAACCCCACCGTAAGAAACAAACAATTAAGCTACGAGAAACGAATTATTTACGCTAACAGAAACGAATTAATGAAGCAAAGATTACCAGTGAAGAACTGAGAAGCGAGAGAGGAGAGGCGGCGATGAATCAGTAACTGCAGAATTTACCCTGGGAGAGGAGAGAATTTGCGAACAAAAAGAATCGGCAAAGAAGAAGAAAGTAGAAAATTGAGAGAAATTACAAGAATTTATTAATTCACAAACGAATTACCGTTGGACGTGTTTGGGATGACAGTTGCGTACCCAATTCCTCTTTATATATTTATTTATATTTCAATCGAGTTATTTAAATGAAATATTAATAAAGCAAATAGACACTGCTAGAACGGACCCTACTAGGAGATAATAACTGATCGTAAGTATTGGGGCACAGGTTCTATTGCAAGAAGCTAAAAGAGCCCTCGGAAAATATTTACAGGTCCAACGTCGGAAACCACTCGCGCCTATAGTATATTTAAAGAATAAATAAATACCTGTGCATGCAGCAGCCTTCTCGAGATGAAGACAGAGGGTGTGTCATCGCCCGGGAAAATGTTAGAACTAACCCTCGTAAGCACTTCGGCATCATGCAATACCACCGCCGCCCCCGAGAGAGCTTGATCGATGAGTCAAGCCCCCATGTCTCTTTATCAATGCTGCTGTCAGCATTACCAGAATAGCTTGCAACGTAGACCAATTCTAGACGTATCTGAAATTGAAAAAAGAATCCGAAACGATAGGATTACGATAGAGTAAAATAGAATGTAAAATGTGCATCAACGAATATGGTTGATTCAAACAGATCTTGCGGCAAATAAACCCTCTAATTTATGCAATATACTTGCAGAAATGTACATCTTATACTCAATTTATTTCCTTCCGTATAATTGACGTTCACTTTTTTAACCACATCATTTCCAACTTGTCCAGCTTTCCGAAAGTTACTTCCAATTATTTTTCTCAGCCTTCTCAATGCTTTCACAAATCACTATCATAAGGGTGAAAATGCATGTTCCATGTTCTAAATTTCATGTCTTAATTGTCGAGAACAATGGTACAGGACGACCATTAATAATAATAAAGTCGACATAAATATTTCAAATGCATATAAACTAAGCCAAGCCAGCTACAATCTTTGCTCAATGTGACCACGTACAACAACAAATAAACTAAAACCATGTTTAATTATTTCCAAGTCACTTAGTTAAGCAAGAAAGTGACTTAGGTGGTGTTTGCAAATGCTTTTCCAAAGTGATTATGAGCTTTTTGAATGTTTAATAAAAACTGATTTTGAACCAAAAAAAGCTCATAATCACTTTGGAAAAGTGTTTGCAAACACCACCTTAAACTTGCACATATGTATGTTTACCAAGCTGGATCACATGAACTAAAACCTTTGTAACGCGACTTGGACAAAATCAGCCAAATTCCCCAATTGACCAAAAAAAAAAAGAACAGGATTTGGAATTTTAACCATACGGCTTCACAAGATTATTAAAAAGACTTCATACCTCCCAGAGTTCGAACGGGGAACAGTGTACTTGACGATCGTTTGCTTCCGATCTTGAAGCCATAGCCTCTAATTCCTCCTTGAAGCAACTCAACAAATCCATTGTCAACAGCATCCCGCGTACAAGCGTTAAAACTGCCTGTCTCGGTGGCACTCTTTGGCTGTACAACAGCATTACTCAGATAATAGAGGTATCTGAGCTGAGTTGGGGATAAGCAGGATTAATTAATTAATTAATTGATTACGGTAATCAAGAGTTGAGTTAATGAATAATGAGAGGCTTAGATCTTCAAAATGCAACCATGGAAAAGCAGAGGAAATGGGGAAATAATGGTGGGTTTTTTTTCGATCGTAGAAAAATAATTTTCCGGGTAGTGTTGTTTGTGTACAGATGGAGGAGGAGCCGCCGGCAGAAGCAGAAGCGCCTACCGCTATAAAATTTTATGTCGAAATAGTTTAAAACACAATGGAGAGGATGAACTGATTACCGATTGTTAATTACTTAATTAACTGTTCTATTTTTTATTTGGAAGCATGCCATAACTAGTTCGAAATTAGCACTTCAACAAAAAAAATCAAGGTAAAATTAATTCCGATTATTTTCCGAAAAAGAGACGAGAAAAGAGAAGAAATTGAGAGAAATTTTGTTTCTCATTCACCACCTATGGAATATATTTATATTGTTAGTGTAATTTAATAAAAATGGAACTTTAGGAATTCTTTGCAAAATATTAAATTGGAGTCTAATATGCATCTTAAAAATAAATAATAATTGGTAAAAAAAATTTACTATAGTTTCCCATTTCTGACTGGTTTTATGAATTATTGAGAAGTTGTTTTCAAAGACTTGAATTTATTCTTCATATAACAACTTGTAACAATTTTGGATAAGGTTCATTACTAATCTCCACAACACAGTGTTTTGATGTTTTTATACAAACAGATGATGATGTCCAAATGTAAGCATATGATTGGTAGATAGCATATATAACTGAATAAGAGTCCAAACATATTACCTATTTCTCTTCTTTCTTTACAGCACCCACAAAACCTTCCGATTTCTGGTAATTTGAATTGAAAAATGCTCCTTGGTTGCTCTGGAGAAACCTGTATTGCAAGATTCGCAAGTTTCGTTTTATATTTACAGAAAATATATGTGTATGTATAATATCAAACAATTCGTAATTCATTACACCTGAGCAAATCGTTCAATCTTTGCTGCAGCTCCGTTGGTGTCTCGGTTTCGATATGCATACACGAGAGCATGTCCGGTAACTTGACTGAATATACGAAAACAATTAGTCTCTGTAATTATTAATCAAACAAGTTAATAGAAAAAAATTGTGTGGATAGAGAATTCCAGCATACCATTAATCATTGTAAAGCAGTCGAATAAAATTAGATGACAAATTATAATTTCTTCCCCATTAAGGATCCATCCCATTAGCAGCTTTTAAAACAAGACTCTAAACCTCATATCCAACTGCATTTACCAGACAAGACGATATAAAACATCAAGACAGTGAGGGGTATTAGCACACAAAAAGGTTGATGGAATTCATATGAAACAAATAAACCACAAATTAGATCATCTTCCCCAATATGTCTCGATCCCAGCAATAGCTTTAAGTTAAGACACTATCAGAACAACTGCAAGCAATGGACAAGACAATGAAATATAAATGTAGGGGGAGGGGGAATAAGCAAACAAGACGGAATAGAAGTCTGATTAATCATTGTAAATCAGAAAAATATCATGTTTTAACGTGTGCAAGATATCAATCTGGACGACACGGACTATTGAAGAAACGTTCTTGTCCGTTCAGGTTAATTGGCAAAAAATCAACGGAGGATGGATTATGGCGATTGAGTGTGAGTAATGGTAATCATAACCATCTGCCGGGTATTTGAAAGTTTAACTTATGTTTAAATTTATATTTGTTTTAATTTTGCATTCAAACTTATGTTTTGGAATATTTAAATTTGTAGCGTTGTGTTTTGCATTTTATATGTTTAATCTATGTTTTTGGAATGTATTAAATTTGTAAGATTGTTTGTAAGGTTGTTTAAATATGTACTTTAATTGCTTCAGTTGTACGTAGTTTCTAAATTCAAATAATAAAACTAGTGAATTAAAATACAAAACAACAAACTAGTAAATTAAATAGTTCGTAATAATAATAAACAAAATTAGTAAAATAATTAGTTCCTAATTAAAAATTAAAATAAATTATTAAATTAAATAGTTCCTAACAATAATAAATTGGTATGTAGTAAGTAGGTACTGGTCCCCACAATAGCTTTGCTTTTCCCACAGCAAAGATCATCTATAAATTGGTATGTAGTAAGTAGGATTTTGAGTAACATACCACACAAATTGGTCTTGGTCTGTCGTTTCGGTCAATCATTAATTAAGCATTTGCAATCCTTCTGATGCTCCGTAAGTTCCTGCAAATGCACATGGTTTTCCAATGAAAGTTAAATTCAACAGAATCAAAGACAAGTGTGATGCAAGTGAATCAAAAATATGCCAAACTGAGTCAGTGATAAGTGTGATTGATTGATTACCTTAGCTCGTAAAGCTAAGGTAATCAAGGAACCATCAACAACAACCATGGAGAAAATTTTCTACATGGATATGATCACTTTATAGGTTAATAATAATGAATGAATAACCTGGATCTGTTTCTGCAGGAACTTTACATAGACTACTGCTTCTTCTAACATGTCAGCTGTGTTCGTTTGCTGCTTGCAACAAAACCAAACTATTATTCTACATACTTATTATACGAATAACACGTAACTGCAGATATCAATTGACGGCTGTGACTCGTTAAAGCAGCATACATTCATCGAGATAAGAAAGTTAAACAGAGGAGGATTTTACGAGCTTATGTAAC